TGTATATCGACATATAGATATGGAGAGAGGCAGATAGATAGACAGATAGATAGACAAACAGATAGGCAGATAGATAGGATTATAGATAGATGTATTGGTCTGTTTGGGAGTCTACGTGCTAACCTCTTTGTCGAGCTATTCTCCTGTTCATGTCTTTATTGATACAGTAATGTCTACAGTAATGTCTCCATTTGCCTTTGTTTGTACCCATCTCTTTTCATGTACAGTCTCAGTTTAATGGTACCGTCGTGCGCAATCTTCTGTTTCGATGTCTGACTCCTAGAGTCTACAGTAGATGCCTGGAGATGCCTGGCTAAAACAGAAGATGCAGAGCTCGCTTTGATGCAGCGATTGGATTTGGTGCTCTGCCAGAGCTGCGGTTAGTGTGGGAAAGCGTCACACCGTCAAAGACTTTACGACATGAAAACGGTACAACGTGCCAAAGCAGTCCAGGAAAACCAAAACCTTGGACAGTCTTGTACGAGGACTGACTTTCGGCAGACGAATTTTTGACGGCGTGACACTGAACCGAATCGAGTATATATTTGTCCGCACAGTACTCCACTTTTGCTTCTTCAGGCCTGCATGTGCTCTCCCAAAGGAAACAATCTCGAGAGACTACCCGGTCTCCACACACGAAAACGGAGCAGGATTGGTGCTTGGGCACAATGGCGCATTTTGCCACTGGGCGGGTGGCTTTTTCTCTGGACAGCGCCAAGTTTTTGCTTTCTCAGGCTTCCAAAGCGTGGTGGTTTCTCTGGGACAGTACAGCCTTCTTGCTTCTCCAGGAAGCAAAGGGTGCCACTTCTCAAAAACAGTGTCAGAATGTGGTGCTGCTTGTTGGGGACTTGGAGGCCATAACACATCGCGAAACTCGTCAGCAAAACACACACACACACACACACCTAAACCGCAAGACATGACAAGCTCTGCACTCGTTGCCGAGAAGAAGAGCCGCTCCAAGTCGCCTGACAGCGCTGTGAGAGAGCACTCTGCATTGCACAGTGGGCAGTTTCGACTCCGTTTTCTGTCAAGGTAGTCACAAGAATCTGTCGGGAGTTGCAGGCAGGGCAGTAGATGCGGCACCGGCGCTCAATCAAAAAGCGTGTGTGTGTGTGTGTGTGTGTGTGTGCGCGCGTGTGTGTGTGTGTGTGTGTATGTGTGTATACATCTGTATATAAATGAACAAGTAAATAAATGAGTTAAAAGAAACATATATATATATATATGCATATATGTTTTTGTATGCATATGTAATGACCCGCCCCGGTGGGGCAAGCTCCAGCCCGACAGCGTGCTGCTGCCCCAAAACTGTTGCCAACAAGCATGGAGCAAACTTCACAACAACAAGGCCCATATCTCATTGAAGCCAGGAAGCTCGAAATTAACACAGAGGGAGTTTTTGAAAAGTGTATGAAAAAGGCACGTCAAGAAAGTCACATGTAGAACAACAACAGTTATCCAGCACATAAACACACTGCATGGAACCCTGTATCATACTCGTCACACCCTACCGAAGACCACCGGGCCGGATCGGCCTCTGCTCTGCGTCAGCATGGAGCTCTTTCCTGGGAAGATGCCCGTCCTCGGCTGAAGGAAGCAGCGACTGCCCCTTTTGGAGTTTAGGGGTGCAAGACTAAGATTTTTTTTTAAAGACTAAGATTTTAGGTCTTCGGGTTCAGGGTCGGGGGTCCCAGGTGCTGGGGCGTCCTCTACAGGGTCCCAAGCTTATAGGGTTTTGGGTTCAAACATTGCGTCCTGAGCATAGGTTCGAAGCTTTGGGATTCAGGTTCAGGGTGTGCTGCACGACCTAGAGCTCAGGTCACGTTTTGCGGGAAAGCATGCCGAGAACAGAGCGATGCAGTCAGCGGCATAGCTGCTTGCCTGCAGGGTTGGTGCTTGCTTTCTTGCGTTATGCCGGAGAACAAGGCATGCAGCATTCTAAGTAATTAGTCACAAGACTCCTTCGAAGACGGCATCGTGATCTTACAGACGACGAGCCGTGCTCTGCTGTCACTGCTGCACGAAGGCCAAGTCATCAACGCGGGTTGGAATTGGCCTTCTGCACGGAAGCCGGCGATGGCGGCAACTGCTTGTGTGGTACTGTAATGACCTAAAACCTACAATTTGTACCGCCGTCTTGTAGCATTAAAGCGTGCTGCTGAACTTGGAGGCCCCCTGCGGAGAGCAAGAATCGCTTGCAAACACGACATTGGCTTCGGGACTGACTGGGCTCCAATGTGGGCCGATCATAATGACTTGAGCCGCATCGGAATCCAACTGTGTCAACAGTGCTGTCGGTCTCAAGAAAAGGGTGTATGCACATACACAGCTATTTACACCCACATGCATGCATACATAGATGCATCCATGCACGCATGACATCAATACACACATACTTGCATGCACCCTTACCTGTATACAGCGTACATGCAAACTTACATACATGCATGCATAATTGCTTACTGACTTACTCACATACCCATTTACTTACTCTCGTGCTTACATACATACATAGTCATATACATACAGACATACCTACAGAGTTATATACATACATACATACATACAGACATACATACATACATACATAGTTATAGGCATACATATATACATGCATGCATACATACATACGTACATAAATTGCATTACAAACATTAATACTTGCATACATACATATGTCTATCCAACCATCTATCCATGCATCCATCCGTCCATCTATACCTGCATACTTACATGTATACAGATAGCTACATACCTGTGTCATTCGTAGACACATGTGTATGCACATGTGCCTATATAGTATGTAATTACATGCTTAGACATCTATCTATAAATCATTTATATATCTATAGACATACAGATGGAGACACAAGTTTTGCGTATATGCATGGTAAACGTTCATACTCTTATACGATGTATATACATGTACACACACATACTACATACCCCGTGCTACGTTTCATACTACGCACTACATACTATACACTACATGGTATAGACTGAAAACTATGACTATAAATCTGAATGTCAAACGTGTATACATACAGGATATATGTATGCACATACTATATATGCATATGTATATATACATTGTGTACATACACATATGGCTCTATATATGGCTATGTACATACATAAACTGACACCTATGCACATTTGGAGAACATGGAGACCTATCAGTTGCCTCCGCCCCCTCACCAACTTAACCGATTGCGTATCACGCACCTCAAAACCATTCAACACGGTAGAGCACAGCTCAAACGAAACCCGTGGCACGCGTGTTGTTGCGATCAACCGCACTATCAGCATCCGCAAAATCTCAAGCCACCCAAACAACAAACTTGCATTTCTGTTACCTTCACCCAGTCGGCATCAGACCTCCAGATCTTCGAACATAGAGCTGATGCATGGCATGCCGAACGCAGCCGAGATAAGGGGTTGAGACTAGAGACTTCGTAGGGCTTCGTAGCTGGATGCATCTCGCTCGATCGCGGAAGCAATCCGATGTCGACAAGAGAAATGCAGAGGTCATGGTTTCTGTTCAGATCAGCCTGCGACAAAGCACTGCGGTTACACGATTCTCGCCATGACAGATGCACAACACACGCACATTTTGCTCCCCACATAAGATGAGTCGCTACCAAGCTTCTCCTTACAGAAGCGGTAGCGCCTGCGCACTAGCTTTGGTGCAGCACCCTTCCTGCAAACGAAGCAGCGCAAAGCGAGAAAAACCTTGCAATAGTCGCACAGTTGCACAACGTCTCTGCATGCAGTAGGGTACGCGGTGAACTTCTGCATAACCGGATATCTACCCTCCCCAGAGCGGGGTGGCAGATACCGGAGCTTTGCAGATGAAGCCAAATGAAGGTCGTTCTGATTTATGGTCCTTTTGGGGGTCCCGATCGTCTCGCTGTGTCTGTAGGCAATGCAGGTACATTTGTAACACATATAACGTATCGCAGATCTTTCTTTTTCAACGAATACAGTAACAGTGTCGTGATGTAGATGAGGGTGCTGAGAAGGGCCCGTAATGTCGAACAACCTCGACTCGAAGGCTGTCAGGCCTTTGACCTTCCACAGAGTTTAAAACGCTCCACAATCGCTGTGGCCAAGTTGCCCGAAATTGCCATGGTACCAGTGCGATATGAGTGTTCCCCAATGCGAAGAGGAGCCATCAAGTTCGGGTGAGAAAATGTCTCAGCCCGTGCAGCCCAGCGCACAGCTGTTTTCTGCTTCCAATCTGAGGGCATAAAAGAGTAAAGCCTGACAAAACTAAGCCACAACGCAACAATCAAGGTGAGCAGAAGTTCCTAAGCCCAGAAGCGAAACACACACTGCAATCGCCGTGCTTCAGGATAGGCCTCATCCCAGGGAACAAGGGTTGACATTCCCTGGCCTGCACCAGGGCTGCAAACATCTTGGTCACAGATGTTCTGACAGGATCCGACCCGTTCCGTGCGGACAAAGTGCGCAAGAACTGCCCTCGATTGCACTGCCCAAACACACCAAGACTTGCATGAAGGCGTCAGCCCATGGAATTCCGGCTTTATGGCCTGCAGCTCAGAGCACAAAGGGATACAGCTCGAAGGGTTTCCTGTGCAAAACACGGATCACAGATTTCGACCGGAGCCGCAAGTCACGACCCGGCTCTCCTCTGGAACATTTGCATCACCTCGGAGGAAGATGAATTCAGACGATTTAACAGACAGCCCGGCATCCCCTACCATGTCCATAGAAGTGAAGTTGTGAGGAAGATGGTCACTGAGTGCGACCTTCGCATGAGGAAAATGCCGAAATGAGAATGATGATACGGTCATCATCATGACGCTGGTGGTGGAGATGGGGGTGGCCATGATGATGTTGAAGATGACGCCGATTATGACGATGATGATACTCGCTGTAACGATGCTGATGACGGTGAAGATGGTGACGATTACCAAGCCTAGGGAGGAAATGAGAGTGTTGATGATGGGTTCAAAGCATTGGTGGCGATGCCATCAATGATGTGATCCCAGCCAAGCAGCGTTGGGGCCGCCGTTTTTGATCAGCACCTCACCAGTGTGAACCTGCTCGCATTCGTGTTGCACGATGGCAAAGGACAGAGAGAGCGCGACATAAAACTTCTGGGAGTTGGCAGCGAGCGCATGTCCGGTGACAGATCGGATGCCCACGAAAAGGCTCTTGCAATGTCGCCGCTGTAACCATCCGAAGCTGCTGTGCTGCTGTCCAGCGGCACAGGCGATGCCCATTACGAAGGACAGCAGGAGCCGAAGATCCTTCCAGGAAGTCTGGCAGTCTGGCTTAAAGAGCCACGCCACGGGATTCTGACTCTGGGAAGAAGGCCTGCCACACGGCACCCTCGAAGTAGCCTCCAAAGGCATCGCTCGAGAGAGCCTCGTGGCAAAGACATGATCAAGCCAAAGATCACCCGGACCCGCGAAGCGGAGCTTCGAAAAAGAGAAACTCCACAAAGGCGCCGAACGACGACGCCGTGCACGCGCCAAGCCGCAAGGCGGTTATCACTTACGAGTACTCGAGTTCTCAATCCAGTCCCAGCACTGAGGCACTCACCTGGCAGCCCCACTGTGTTTCGAGCGCCTCAGGCGGGGTCGCAAGATGGAGTCGGGATATCTCGAACGCTATTCTCGACCGGTAAGCGTAAGCATGGCTTTTCATCCTGGACATGCCTCAAGAGTACAGCAGAGGCAGGGGCAACAGCTCCCTGAGCCAGCAGTACGATGAAGACCTTGCGATGAAGCAGAGTCCCACTTGGGCAGTTAGTTCATATGCTAAAGCCTTCCGAGTGAGGCCTTCAGACTTCAGGCTCAAGGATATTTATAAGCAGCACCCAAACATGCCGGCAGAGCCAGCCATGTGAAGATAAATCGTAGCATCTCGAAGGTTTTGTCGAGATGTTCTGCCTGCGAGATGAACGGTGAAGTTGTACGGAAACCCCTGAAACTGGAGGGCTAACTTGGCGCATGTTCTGATTGCGGGGTGCTCGTGTGCGCGACGTCTCTTGTTTCGGTCTTTGCACATGTCAACGGCGCAAGGTGCAAACGCAGCAGCCGGTGCCTTTGAGCGGATGTTGAGTCGGCGGGGTTGCCAAAGCCTGCCCTCGCCAAGAGGCTTCTCCCCAGAGAAGCTGATTGAACCCAAAGCGGCAGAAGGGACAATGAAGTGACTTGAAAAGGCTGACATGGCAAGAGCTGGCACGCTGCACTATCTGATTATCTGTACTACTTGCTCAAAGCAGCAGGCAGCCACTGCTTTCTGACCAGACCAGCACGCTGCCGGAAAAGTGCAAAGGACAGAAGCACGTCAACCAACCAAGCCTCTAATAGAGTCTAAGGCTCTAAAAGTCATAGCCTCCAAGACGGATCAGCTGTGGTCGCTGATCAGCTCTCTGTAAAAGGCGATTTCCCAAACAAGCTACACTCAGCGCGGCAGCCGCGTCTGCAACGAGGACGGATAACCGTACATTCTGCCTGAAGCTTTGCCAGAAAAACGGTCCAGACCCACGGTCAAAACGGCCAGCTCGTCCAGTGTCCACGCTGTTCTCGCTGTCTGTTGCCAAGGATGCCAAATATGTCCAAAAGCCAGATGCAACCTTCGAAGACGATGTTGGAGTGGGCTGCCTGGCCTTGCTCTGCGTCTGTGCGCACACGAAATCAAAGCAATGCCAGGCCAGGCCAAGTTGGCACCTTCACTTCGGCGACCGACATGTCCACGGGCTGTCCGCCACTGTGATCTCGAGTGCTGTTCCCCAGATTTCCCCAGCAGGTTGCTCGCAGCGGAAGCAGAGCGTTCCATGGAGCCTTTGAACAAGAGACAGGGGTGGAGGGATCTCAAAGCGCATCAAACTTTATCTCTGACTCCGGCAACGTGTGGCAAGTTCTCGCTAACTCGCTGCCGCAGCTGCGCTTGCATCTCGAGGATGGCCTTTGGCTGCAGGACATAGCGTCAGAACAGCTGGTGCACAGGCATGGAGCACGAACGACAACGAGGATGAATGTATGTGTCATTGTGCTTTGTACGGCATGTTTGTTTGAACGCTCATACAATGTAGGTGTCTACCACCAAGGCGTCCGCAGCCACTGACCGCCTGAAACCTTCAAACCCTCAACTGCCTCAACTCCTCCCCTCCCTTTCCCTCTCAAGGCAGCTAAATGCTGAACTCTGAATCCCTGACTTATGGTTGTTTCTTGCCCATACGGGAAAATGCCATGACGTCCCGGGCCTGACAGCTTTGGGCCGCTGCTGCACAGGGTGCCGCACTCATCGGTCCTGGACAGGCCTCGACGGAATTTGGGGACGTCAACCTCCAAGCCTGAGGTTCGCACTGATAGGTTGTAGCACAGAAGGAACAGGCGCGCCAATGCACGTGCCTTTTCGCATCATTGTAGGTTTGCGAAGAAGTTTCTCATCCACAGCAGGGCAATGCGGGGAGTGGCTGCTGCAGTGTTTTGATTCTAAGCTGGATAAAGAAAATGGGCTCTGCCACTATCAAAGCGGGCCGACACTTGTAGCTTCGCCAAAGGCCAGCAAATCGATGACTCCCTGCGGCTCATACGCGGGTTCACTGGGCTCAGCAGGTTCAGCTGAACGCCATAACAAACATTTGATGCACCTAAAGTTTTCAAGCAGGCCGCTCATCTGCTCATCCCCACTGCTCGACGGCATCCTTGCCTGTGTACATTTCGGCGGCGATGATGCCGATGGCCGCAAACATGGCGAAGCGGCCGTTGTTGATCTCCCTCTCTCGCATCTCCTTGGTGTACTGGTTGAAGTTCATGGGGTCCCCGAAGTTGCCGGGCTCCTTGCAAGGATTTTATCTGATGCGACTCCCTGCAAGGAAGCAAGTAATGAGTAAGAAAGCAAGGAAGCAGTAAGTAAAAAAGTAAGTAAGGAAGTAAGCAAGCAAGCATAAGAAGTCAGATCAAATCTTTGCAAGGAGCGCATGTATGAGAACGACCTCCGCGAGGTACATGCGGGCCTGACATGCGTCAGGTGCGAACCGTTCTCAATTTGCACTGGTCTTCCTGACCAGTCTTTCAAGAAGCGCGAGGGCTCAGATGATTGCTTGTCTGTTTACACGACCAGCAGGATGCCGAACCGGAGCTCGTCCTGCCAGTCGCACAGCAACAGACTAGCCCCTGAGGTCGAAGTCCCGAGCGACAGCCGCAGCCGCCTCGAGCACTTGGGTCTCCCAGCGAGAAGCCATGCCACGATCGAGAAAACACCTCTGCCGCAGCGAACCTTCAGCACGAGCCGCAGCCTTCCGACGAGCAGCGCAATCGACGATGTCACATAACCATCCGGCGGCGACCACCCCTTGGGCGTCGGCTTTCCGTGTGAAGGCACCCAGTGGAGTTCAAGCATGACTCCTCGGGCCCTCAGCTGAGCCGTAGCAGCGACGAAGAACTGGCCACACAGCCGTAGCACGCCACGACCAGCCACCACGTCCATAGAACTCTTGCAGTCGACGACAACGGCGACCCTTCCAACAGCAACACACTGCAGCAGGGCCTTGTAGAGGAAGACAAGCGCGACCACCTCGGACTTGAAAGCAGGCTGGTCTTCACCAGCAACTCCAATGGCATGAGTGCCGGTGACCTCAGAACCATCGGTGGCAACGAGGACAGAGCCACGAGCAGCAAGAGCAGCCTGTAGGTCCATCGCCACAGCCTCAACGAAGTCAGGCTCGTCAATGACGGCAGGGGCAGCGGGCCATTCCTGGACCGAACGAGCGAGGAGCCTGTCCTCGACCCGATTCGCCGGCACAACATCAGTGCGAAGATGATGTTGACGGGAGGGGCACGTCCAAACCAGGTGCGCCCGACTAGGGTCTTGAAGACCGCATAAACAAGATGCCGGGCCATCGATGTGGTACTTGGCACAGCGATGCCATCCCGAGCATCCTGAAGCAAGAGCAAGCTGTCGAGCCGTAAAGTCACCAGCAGCGAAGGCCTTGACATGGCCTGCAAAGACACACAGCGCTTGTCCGTGAACGCCAAGCAGCGCCAAGCCCTGAGCGAGGCCTTGACCAGTGCGATGCAGTGACACAGCCGCTCGCCCACAGGCGCGAAGAGCAGCCCGACGATGCCAGTCAGCGAGCCACTCAAAGAGCACCTTAGGGGAATCCCAGCCAACTCGAAAGCAGCGAACCACGAAGGTCACGTCGACAAAGTGCTCGCCCAGACTGGGCACTCCACCAGCCAAGCTCAGCAAGGACCACACCTGCAAGGGGCAGCACATGCGGCCATGGCAAACACGCAGACTCCAGAGGAGCAGTCTCCTGCCAGGGGCGAAGGTCGCCGACATATAGCGCAGAACATCCTGCAGAACACTCCAACGGCGCATGAAGACAGGATCCCTTTGCCAGCCCATAACCTCAAGGAGAATGGGCCGCGCAGCCTCTGCAGGGAATCCATGGCCGACCACATGGATCACGTCAGCACGAATGAGGGCCGCCTGCTCCACCGACACCGCAGCAAAGGCACCCGCCCAGGAGTAGAGGGGCGTCACGAGCTGCTGGATGAGCACAAGCCGGTGAGCCCAAAACTTAGCCGCATCCTTGATCAGACGAAGGCGTCGCCTCAAAGTCTTAAGCTCAAACCTCGCCAAAGAGGCCAAGCCATGCAGATCGAAATCGATGGCAACACCAAGGATCTTGAGAGTGGGCCGGAGGTCGTAGTCCCACATACTCGCCAAGATCGGGCCTATCGGGACCCCAGTTCTGGTGGTGACCTGGCACTTGGCGTGGTCACACTGAAACCCGAAAGCATCATCAAACTCATCGCTGCGACGCTTGGCATCACGAAGAGCAGCGCTGCTCGCTGAGAAGAAGTACCTATCATCGACACACGAGACAGCGGAGGCTCCAGACTGAGAAACATGAGCCACCCATCCAGCCAGAGTCACAGCCGCCAACATGGGGCTTAGCGGGCATCCCTGGCAGATGCCACGCGAAGTCATGTGCCATTCGCGGTCAACCTGGCCCATGAAAGAGAAAGGCCGGCCGTGGGAGGCGTGGAACGAAGAGACCAATCTGCGCAGCTCCGTGGGCGCGCCAAGCTGGCTCAAAGCAAGATCCAGCAAACCCACACCTATGGAGTCGAAAAACTTCTCCAAATCTTGCGCAACGACCGTATCCCCGCGCCTGGCAGTGCAAAGCACCTGAGCAAGAGCATCCTTGACGCCACGCCCGTGGACGCGATGATCGAGGAACTCATCCATCCAGCCGTGCAGCTGGCCAAGCAGAGCTTTCGAACCAATGCGCCAGCCAATAGAAAGCAGGCTAAGGGGTCGATGGCCCCCCTGAGGCTTTTCAAGCAGTGCAACACGTGCACGCCGCCAAACCACCAGCAGATCACCAGTGACAATGATGTGTTGCCAGAGTCGCGCCAACAAGTCCCAGAAGGGCATCGGCAAGAGCATCTAGGCCTCCGCACGCCAGTCATCCGGGCCTGGCGACTTGCCAACCATGCCCCGAGCAACATCACGGAGCTGATGGCCAGCAAGCACAAAGTTGACCTGACACTGAGGGCGTTCAGGCAGGCTCTGTAGCACGTGACGAACAGCATCAAGATCACAGGTCTCTCGCTTGGTCCAGCGAGGCAGCCATTCCTGAGCAGCACGCTCCATCACACAGACTGGATGGACCGCTACATGAGGGGCAAGCTGATCCACCTGGAGGCACGAGTTTTGAAGCTCAACTTCCACCGCCGTACGCCGCTTAATCCAGTTTCGCTGCTCACGAAGATCACCATCAAGACGACGTCGCCACAGGTCGATGTTCACCTGCTTCTCCTCAATCTCCATCGCCAAGATCAGCTCGTGAACCAAAGCCACCGTAGAGCCAGAGGGCGACTCCACGCGCTGAAGCAACTCAGGGAAGGTAGACCCAAGCCTCGACAAGTCCTCAACCACATTGCCACGCAAGGCAGAGTCACGCGGCACATGCACAAGATGAGAAGCACGACGATGGAGGCGCGGCATAACAGCATCGATTCGCGTGACGCAGAAGCTTTGTGCAACTCTCTCGGCTGCCGAGGTTTCCAGAGTTCATGCCGAGGAACAACCCCATGATGACCACGGCCTCGAGGTCCAACCTCAGCATCACACGTAGCCAGACCCTTCTCAGCGACACTAGACAGCAAGGCCCAGGCACAGTAGAGGCATCGCCCAGCTCCAAAGCAGCACTGAAGTCCTTGCCATGAGGCCTCCACAGAGACTCCCAATCCTCACTCGAAACCACCGGAGAGAAAGCCTCTTAGGCCCGATAGCCGCCGAAGGGACCGTGAAGTCAAAGCCATAAGAGACCCCGAGGTGGTCCGCCACCGTGTCGAAGGACTGGACCCACACGGCCGAGACATCCAGCGAAGCCCAGGCGTCATCAATGCGTCGCATCCGACTAGGAGAAGTCGCCGGAACCAAGGAAAGCGTCATCCAGGAATTAAGTGGCCCGCAAGCAGCGACGAAGCACGCATGCCCATGGGCTCCTCCTCGACTTCCACAGTCACCGATCAAAAGCCAGCTATATAGGCAGTATTGGCCAAAGCCGTGGCAACATCTAGCGCATGGCCCCAGCACACCAGGATCTTCTGGAGCTGAGTCGCCCCTTGGAACTCGAATAAGGCAGCGACGTACCTCTCCTGGTGCACCACCGAAGGCAAAGAAACCGCCTTGCCAGGAACTCGAGAAATCAGGGCCGTGCGACGCAAGGAGCCATCATGAGCCCCGACAAGGATCAGCAGCCCATGCCGACGAAAAGAAGCCGTGACGGAAGCCACCTAATCCCGATTAACATCAACCTCCTGCAAAGCCATCACCGTGGCCTGAGCATACTCAAAGACAGAAGCAACCTCAGGGATTTTCGCATAAAGCTCACGACCGACATTCATGGTGGCTATGGTCACCGTCATGATTGCTGACTGGCGTCACAGCGGCACAGATAGCAAAGGTCAGGATCTTCTCACAGTGATCGGAGCTCCAACCAAAGCGCTTGCGCCGAAGAATGCGGGCACGAGCATCACAGGCACGGAGACGCCCTTTGTACTGAGTCACCCGGGCTTTCAAGGAGAGCCTTTTAGCACCGCAGCAAGAAACTCGCGTGCAAACCTTGTAAGAATTTCTGGCCTCTAGACCTTGGATTTCATCAAATAATTATTTTGTCATTTATTTGTCATGTTTTTGTCATTTGGTGGTTTTTCCGTTTGTCATTTTTTAGTCGTTTCTGTCATTCGCCCTTCTTCCTCCCTCCGCGCCCCACGCCCACGGAAAATGACAAAAAAAAGGCACCAACATGACAAAAAAAATGACAATGCCTCGGGAAATGTGCAAATTTCGGTTTGGTGCCCTGCCCCACCCTTCCTCCCTCCCTCCCTCCCTCCGCGCCCCACCAAAATTACAAAAAACTACGCCAATGCCAAACAAATGCATGACAAAAAATGATTCCAAAATGACAAAAAATGGCTCCAAAATGACAAAAAAATGAAAATGCCTCGGGAAAGGTGCAAATTTCGGTTTGGTGCCCTGCCCCACCCTTCCTCCCTCCCTCCGCGCCCCACCCAAATTACAAAAAACGACGCCAATGTCAAACAAATGCTTCCAAGATGACAAAAAAATGATTCCAAAATGACAAGAAATGACAATGCCACCCCCACCCTTCCTCCCTCCCTCCGCGCCCCACCCAAATTACAAAAAACGATGCCAATGCCAAACAATTCTTCCAAAATGACAAAAAAATGACTCCAAAATGACAAAAACCTGACTCCTTCTTGACAAAAAATTGACAATGCCTCGGGAAACATGCAAATTTCGGCTTGGTGCCCTGCCCCACCAAAATTCCATAAAACGACGCCAATGCCAAACAAATGCTTCCGACATGACAAAACAATGGCTCCAAAATGACAAAAAAATGAAAATGCCTCGGGAAAGGTGCAAATTTCGGTTTGGTGCCCTGCCCCACCCTTCCTCCCTCCCTCCGCGCCCCACCCAAATTACAAAAAACGACGCCAATGCCAAACAAATGCTTCCAAAATGACAAAAAAATGACTCCCAAATGACAAAAAAATGACTCCAAAATGACAAAAAATGACTCCAAAATGACAAAAAATGGAGTCAAAATGATGAAAAATTGCTCCAAAATGACAAAAAATGATAATGCCTCGGGAAATGTGCAAATTGCGGTTTGGCGGCCTGCCCCACCCTCCCTCCCTCCGCGCCCCACCATGACACAAAAATGACACCAAAATCACAGTGTTAACGTTTACCAAATCCAGAATGACAAAAAATGACAATCCCAATGACACAAAAACGACTAGAGCAAATGACAAAAACATGACAAATAAATGACAAAATTAATTCTGGAACCCACCTCAAGCTTTGCTGCAGAAATTCTTACAATGCAAACCACATTGCGCAGATCGGACGCGCTGCGCAATGATCGGCCAACACCAACCAGGGCATCCGAAATCGCTAAGTACATGCAATTTCCAGCACCCGTGTTGTCCTTCAGCACCATTCCGGAGGGGATGGGCGGGCCACTCGGGCCAGCTTTCTCACGCTTGGAGGGCTCAGCTGAGTCAGTTTTAGCCGAGGATTTGCCGTCATCGACGCGAGGGGCCTCGCTGGAGTCAACTTGCATCTCGAAAGAAGATTCGCCAGTCTCAGCCGGCGGCGGTGAGGAACCCTGCACAGAACGATCACCCGACGAAGACCACCTGCTCTTACCACCAGTCTTGCCTCCAGTCTTGAAGACCTGAGCACGCTCAGCAGGAAGAGGCTTCGTCGATCCTCTCCCAGGCGCACAGCTTCAACCGGATGCTCGTCGATCACAGTGGAAAAGAAGTCGTAATCAGCAGCAGCCCTAGCAGGGTAAACCCAACATGTAGTACCATTACGCCAAGGCCGACGCTCCTGAAGCTCAACCTCCTGGAAAGAGGGTCTTCCAAGAAGGTCTCGACATCCTCATAAGCCCACTCCCTCGGAATACCGGAGTCGCCAGGATCTGAAAACAGTACGAGGCCGCTCCACATCGGCAGGAGTGGCAGCCCTCCTCACCCCAAGTTGGGACATCCCCCAAGCCAGGCCGAAACCGGTATCAGCCAAAGCTCGGCGAGCACGAATGGCATATTGCGACCAAGATTCCGAACTTTGCCACTCCACTGCCAGAGCTGGCACGCCTTCCAGCGTCTGCTGCCGAGAAACAGCACAAGCATGCTCAGTGGGCACACGTACCAGGCCCTCGATGGTGGCCGTGTTGCCGCCAGGGCCTCTGACCAATTGCCATCCCCAGCAATCCCTGAGTGTGGCACCAATCCCTGAAGTGGGCTCCGGGGTTCTTCGTCAAAGCCTCCCATCTAAGCTCGTGATGTACCCAGTGGGCGTGAACACGAAGAACAGCAGTAGCTCTCAACCAGCGCTCTCAAGGTAGCCGACAACTGCTTCAAGGCGGTGCCTCCTCGCTGCAATAAGCAGCCCAGACGTTGGCCGCACGAACGTGGCCGCGCCACTCGCCTGGCATGCGGATCTCCTCCCAGGAAACCTCAAGAAATCAGCCCTCGCCTTTTCCTCATGGCCCCGCATGACAATGATGGTGAGATCCGGCGGGTCCTCAGAACTCTGGAGCAGGGTGCGGTACCTCTCCAGCTCCTCTTCTTTCGTGACATAAGCAACAGCATCAATTGTGGGATCATGCAACAGCTCCGTGACGTCCTCAATGATGCGAGTGCCGGGCTGCCAGTCCGAAGCCCGAGGGCCCCAATGTGAAGGAGTGAGGGGACCCAATTGTCCGTTGCCATGGCCTTTGCCACCTCCCTTGCTATGATCCTTGCCAGCACCTTTGCCAGCAACCGTGACAGTGCGAGGCGCCTGTGCATCCCGGCCTTTGGGCTTCTTGGTCTTCTTGCGGGACACACCTCCACCCAACCAGCATCAGCATCATCAGCTTGCCAAGGTGGGCCAAGATCAACAGGCTCAGGATCCGGCCAATCCTCCCACGAAACAGGAGCTGACCAATCAGTCCACTCATCACGCCGTCGCCGCCTGGATGTCCACCGAGAAGCCGTGGGGCCAGACCAAGATTCATCAGCAGCTTGCCAAGTCACAAGCAGCTGCTGCAAAGCACGCACAGGATCCTTAGGCCGATTCTTGATGATCTTCTCCAGGTCCTGAAACAGCTGCTCGTAGCCATCGTCCTCCTCCTCATCGTCGCCAGCATCGGCCCAGCCACTCAGCATCTGTGAAAGGGAAGCTAGGAGCTTCTCAGTCCTCTTCGTGGTCGCCGCACCGCCAGCACCACCACGAAAGGCATCGCCAAGATCAAGAGTCAAGAGCCAGACCCATCTCCAGCCAAAGCATCTCCGGCCTCGAATCCTCCACCACATGAGGTAGGAGACGAGATTGTCCCCAAATGGAGCTGTGGCACGGCAATTCAGGAGCCATCATCTTCCGTTACTGCAGTGGCCAATCCACCTCTAGCATCCAACGAGCCAGGCAAAATGCACCGACCCCAGCCAACACCACAGGCATCAGCAAAATCGCTCATGGCGACGATGGCGCCACTATTGCAATCATCTGGGAGAAGCTCGCCACCGTCTTGGCAAGCAAGCCGCTCACCTCTGCACACCAAAGCCTCAAAGCAAGGAGCTCGACCACATCGTGAGAATCGAACTCGCCCTCTACGACGAAGAGCACAAAGCTGAGCAATGGCACGGCAACCCAACCGCACTCGATGCCGACTCCGCGCATATCGAGCGCCACCCGCCAGTCGAGCTGACCAAGCGACTACCCGATGAAAACCATAAGGATTAACAGCCAGGGAACCAACATCTGGCTGTAACACTGGAACTTCAGCAGCTGAGGAACTCGACTCGCATCAAGAGAAGCCCCAGAGCTCACAGCGCCACCCTGTACGGCAGCGTCTCGACGATAAATGCAGGCCTTTGCTCCCTAGGAAGAGGCCCAAGGCAGCCCTCTATCGCTAGGGCCAAGCATCCGAAAAGCAACCATCCACCGAGCACCCAACACCCTGCAGCTGGTAAAAGAGCATAAGGCAGAAGCAAGCCTTCCCATTCGTAACGGCGTCGAAGCCAAGCATGCCAGGCTGACAACCAACATGCCCACAGAACTACAGTGATGCCAATCGTGAAAAATGAGTGGGAAACACGGCAATCATCTGAGCCCTCGCGCTTCTTGAGAGACTGGTCAGGAAGACCAGTGCAAATTGAGAACGGTTCGCACCTGACGCATGTGAGGCCCGCATGTGCCTCGCGGAGGTTGTTCTTATACCTGCGCTCCTTGCAAGGTTGTAATTTCATGCGACTCCTTGCAAGGAAGCAAGTAATGAGTAAGAAAGCAAGGAAGCAAGTAGTAAGTAAGGAAGTAAGCAAGCATAAGAAGGTAAGGAAGAAAGTAGCTCAGTATCCAACTATCTATGCGCTGATCTCACATCAGACATCATTTGATAGAGATGTACGGCTCCTTGTCTGCAACCTGCCTCCACGGCCCAAGCTCGAGGACGCCGGCCAAGATCCAAAGGATCACGAAGCCGTAGCTCCCGGGAGCCTTTTCGATGGCCTTGATGCCGGCCGGCATGCTCTCGAAGCCAGGCAGTCGCACGAAGTGCTGAAACACCGCTCCGACGGTCGCCATCATCGCCACGCGGCCGTTCTTCAGCTCCGCCGCGCGAAGCCACGCGAACTTCTCCTCATCGCTCAGGTCCTGGAGGTACACGCCCAGCGGTCGGCCCGGCTTGGAAAAGTTCAGGGGGTCGAAGAAGCCAAGAGGTGGCATGGCCCCGACCTCCTCCGAGGGGTCGTAAGCCCTCAGGGGCGACGCCGTGTATGTGCTCCAGTCTCCCCAAGCAGAGCCGGTGAGACCATCTTGGAAGAACATGCCTGGCCACGTCTTGAATGTGCAGGTAAGCCTGTGCAGCCACAGATCACGCCAAGGGGCCGATGATGGCCATCATCGCTAAGCGGCCGTTCGCCAGCTCGGCCGCAAGTTTGGTTTTGCGTGCCTCTGGATCCTTCCCATGAAGCATTGCAGTGCAGACCGATAACAGCAAGATCAAGCCGCCTATATGCAAGGTGATCTACGAGTAAAAGTATGTTCGGCACCCTCGCACCTCGACCTTTCCCAGGAAGTTCGGGAAACCCACGCCATAGTTGCCGGGCTCGGCGCTCCTTAGCATTTCATGCAACGAACCGACAGGCGTGCTGCAGCACCGCCGCAACGAACGGCAGCAGGGTTAGTTGTAACTTCTAGTTTTCTTAGATGTAACTTTTCGCTTTTTCTTAGACGTAGCTGTTTCGTACCTACCCCACGTAGCCCACCTATGAGGCTGAAACAGATCCTACCTGGAGCCGCTCGATAGCCCTACATCAAGGTGCTGTGCTCGTGAATCCAGCAAGAATCTAAGAAGCTTTAACCCGAACCCAAGACGAGAATTCTAAGGAGTGAACACCCAAGAACAAAACCCTAGAAAGTGAATCCCGCCGGAACCCTTTCTCTAAGACGAAAACCCTGAGGAGCGAGTCCAGCAGGAACCCTTGACCGAAGACCAAAACCTTAAGGAGTGAATCCAGCAGGAGACTTCAACCCAAGACGAAAATCCTAAGGAGAGAATACCCAAGACGAAAACCCTAAGGAGAGAATACCCAAGACGAAAACCCTAAGGAGAGAATACCCAAGACGAAAACCCTAAGGAGAGAATACCCAAGACGAAAACCCTAAGGAGAGAATACCCAAGACGAAAACCCTAAGGAGAGAATACCCAAGACGAAAACCCTAAGGAGAGAATACCCAAGACGAAAACCCTAAGGAGAGAATACCCAAGACGAAAACCCTAAGGAGAGAATACCCAAGACGAAAACCCTAAGGAGAGAATACCCAAGACGAAAACCCTAAGGAGAGAATACCCAAGACGAAAACCCTAAGGAGAGAATACCCAAGACGAAAACCCTAAGGAGAGAATACCCAAGACGAAAACCCTAAGGAGAGAATACCCAAGACGAAAACCCTAAGGAGAGAATACCCAAGACGAAAACCCTAAGGAGAGAATACCCAAGACGAAAACCCTAAGGAGAGAATACCCAAGACGAAAACCCTAAGGAGAGAATACCCAAGACGAAAACCCTAAGGAGAGAATACCCAAGACGAAAACCCTAAGGAGAGAATACCCAAGACGAAAACCCTAAGGAGAGAATACCCAAGACGAAAACCCTAAAAGTGAATGCAGCGGGAACCTTTCCCGAAGTCGAAAAACCCCTAAGGAGCGAATCCAGCAGGAACCCTGGACCGAAGACGAAACCCTAAGGAGTGAACCCAGAGGAAACTGTAACCCATAACGAGAACCCAAATGAAGGAATACCCAAGGCGAGAACCGCCTCAGGAGTGACTACCCAAGGCGAAAGCCTTAAGGAGTGAATCCAACCGTAACCTTTTCCCGAAGACGACAACCTTTCACCCACCAAAACCGTAAGGACTGAATCCAACAGCAAGCCTTTACCAAAGTCAAAAACACCGAAGGAGTGAATCCAGGTGGTGGTGGATGTTACAGCACCAAAACTGTGGCTGGATGCTGAATAGACCAGAGCCTAAAGGTTAGCGGCGTGGTGCTAGAGACATCAAAATATAGCAGAGATGCTCGTGTTGAAACCCTGTGCAGAGCTTTGTTGTTTTTGGAGCAGAAAAATTTCAACTGAGATGTTTTGGTGGAAAAGCTGGAAAAGTTACATCTAAGAAAAAACTAAATCACAACTACGTGTGCTACAAGTACCTGCACAGCCCTGCAAGGCACTACGTGCTGCACGCAGGCTGCATGCCTCCAAGGCGCTCGGTGGAGTCCTTCATGGAGAACTGGCCCTCACGCGGACCACGGCCATCGGTGGTCGAGGCCGCCTGGAAGAAGCCTGGCACGTGCAAGTCGCTGAAACTTGGCTCTGGCTCCAGAGGCTCCAGATCGCACGCCTGTCGTCTCGATGAGGCCGGCGAAGGCGATGATTTGAGCACCACCCAGCACAGGCAGCTTGGAAAGAGCTGCAAGGCCGTTGGGCATGTCCTGACTTGATCCGGTGCGACTTTCGAAACGGCTACGTCGAAGCTGCACTCTATGAAGCTGAGTCGCAGAGAACTTCAAGCCCAACGAGGGGGACAGGAAGCCTACGCAGCAAGACATCACCAGTCTCTACATGGTTCAGTGGCATCCACATCATCCACGCACCTGGCCAGCGAAAGTATTCCGGGACAATGTAGCCAATGGTCGCATACCTCAGCAGCACTTCGCTCCAAGCATACGAGGCCACATACAATATTTCAACAGCTGGAGCACATCGCGATCCGCCCATGCTTGAGCTCCACCGCGCGACGGCGATTGAAGGTGGCCTGCATGCATTTCGAGCAGGCGGAGCATTCAGCCTGTGCCGGTTAGGTACTTGTAAGTCGGCGTACGCCTGCCTTCCGAAACCTTGGAACAACTCCCCTCTTGGACATCATGGTTCACAACTTCTCCTTTGCCGAGCCTTGTCCTTGTCAGCCGCAAGCCCTAGGGGATCCCAAAATCCCACCGGATCTTGCACACCCAGCTCCTGCAAGGGCGCGACTGCGATGTTTCAGATGTTGAAGTTGAAGCATGAACTGTTCACCGGTAGCATGGCATGTCAAGGTTAATTTCGGAGCAGGCCGAACAAATGAGTCTCCAAGGTCTTGACATGACATGACACAACATTCGGCATCCCCAACGATCAACACTCAAACACCAAAGCTGGCCGCACCGTTGCCGGGTCGAAGCTGGCCGGTGTCGAGGTGGGTCCGCCGAAGAAGTTACGTGCGACGTGAGGCCGGGATGTCCTGCCCTGCGTAGCACAAAACAGCTCTCAACAAGCTTGCCTCTCTCGCAAGTCTCACTCACAGCTCTGCTGTCAGGCCACGGAAGCGCGAGACAAGGCTGCCACCAAAACTCCTGGCAGGATGAATCTCGACTTGAGATGCATGATTGTTTTGAAAGCGGCGGTCGCAGTCCCATGCCTGCGCTGGCGACGGTGCCGACGGTAGCTGCCGAAAGGCCGCTGCTGGGTGTCTGCGCAGCTGCGTGTGCGGCTGTGCGGGGTGCCTGGGTGCCCTGAGTGCTGGGAGCTCCGGGCACGAAAAGTGGCGCGGCCACCTGAGCAACTCATGCAACAGCACACCGCGCCGCAGGACCGGTTTCTGCAAGAGCTTGGTAGCTCGTGTCGCTTGCAAGATCGCTGAGGCATTGGCAAGGCCGGCAGCGGGCAAGGCAAGCGCCAGGGTACGAGGCGCCATGGCGAATCAAACCACGAAGAGGGAGTTGCAGAGCCCAAATCTGCACCAGATGCTTGACAATCATGCACTAGCCTGCTCAAACGTCTCGACAGGAACCCTCTGAGAGCAAAGCCCGACATAGTCATGCATAGGGCAGTGGATCTCCGGACCTCCAAGCAATGGGTTAAAATGCGGCCATGCGCGTTCGTCTTGGCGTCATGTCATTGCAATTCAATGTATAGGTTTGCGAGGAAGCTTCTCATCCACAGCAAGGCAATGCAGGGAGTGGCTGCAGCAGTGTTTTGATTCTAAGCTGGATAAGGAAAATGGGCTCTGCCACTATCAAAGCGGGCCGACACTTATAGCTTCGCCAAAGGCCAGCAAATCGATGACTCCCTGCGGCTCATACGCGGGTTCACTGGGCTCAGCAGGTTCAGCTGAACGCCATAACAAACATTTGATGCACCTAAAGTTAAAAAGCAGACCGCTCATCCGCTCATCCCCACTGCTCGACGGCATCCTTGCCTGTGTACATTTCGGCGGCGATGATGCCGATGGCCGCAAACATGGCGAAGCGGCCGTTGTTGATCTCCCTCTCTCGCATCTCCTTGGTGTACTGGTTGAAGTTCATGGGATCCCCGAAGTTGCCGGGCTCCTTGCAAGGATTTTATCTGATGCGACTCCTTGCAAGGAAGCAAGTAATGAGTAAGAAAGCAAGGAAGCAGTAAGTAAAAAAGTAAGTAAGGAAGTAAGCAAGCAAGCATAAGAAGGTAAGGAAGAAAGTAGAAAGTAGCTCAGTATCCAACTATCTATGCGCTGATCTCACATCAGACATCATTTGATAGAGATGTACGGCTCCTTGTCTGCAACCTGCCTCCACGGCCCAAGCTCGAGGACGCCGGCCAAGATCCAAAGGATCACGAAGCCGTAGCTCCCGGGAGCCTTTTCGATGGCCTTGATGCCGGCCGGCATGCTCTCGAAGCCAGGCAGTCGCACGAAGTGCTGAAACACCGCTCCGACCGTCGCCATCATCGCCACGCGGCCGTTCTTCAGCTCCGCCGCGCGAAGCCACGCGAACTTCTCCTCATCGCTCAGGTCCTGGAGGTACACGCCCAGCGGTCGGCCCGGCTTGGAAAAGTTCAGGGGGTCGAAGAAGCCAAGAGGTGGCATGGCCCCGACCTCCTCCGAGGGGTCGTAAGCCCTCAGGGGCGACGCCGTGTATGTGCTCCAGTCTCCCCAAGCAGAGCCGGTGAGACCATCTTGGAAGAACATGCCTGGCCACGTCTTGAATGTGCAGGTAAGCCTGTGCAGCCACAAATCACGCCAAGGGGCCGATGATGGCCATCATCGCTAAGCGGCCGTTCGCCAGCTCGGCCGCAAGTTTGGTTTTGCGTGCCTCTGGATCCTTCCCATGAAGCATTGCAGTGCAGACCGAAAACAGCAAGATCAAGCCGCCTACATGCAAGGTGATCTACGAGTAAAAGTGTGTTCGGCACCCTCGCACCTCAACCTTTCCCAGGAAGTTCGGGAAACCCACGCCATAGTTGCCGGGCTCGGCGCTCCTAAGCATTTCATGCAACGAACCGACAGGCGTGCTGCAGCACCGCCGCAACGAACGGCAGCAGGGTTAGTTGTAACTTCTAGTTTTCTTAGATGTAACTTTTCGCTTTTTCTTAGACGTAGCTGTTTCGTACCTACCCCACGTAGCCCACCTATGAGGCTGAAACAGATCCTACCTGGAGCCGCTCGATAGCCCTACATCAAGGTGCTGTGCTCGTGAATCCAGCAAGAATCTAAGAAGCTTTAACCCGAACCCAAGACGAGAATTCTAAGGAGTGAACACCCAAGAACAAAACCCTAGAAAGTGAATCCCGCCGGAACCCTTTCTCTAAGACGAAAACCCTGAGGAGCGAGTCCAGCAGGAACCCTTGACCGAAGACCAAAACCTTAAGGAGTGAATCCAGCAGGAGACTTCAACCCAAGACGAAAATCCTAAGGAGAGAATACCCAAGACGAAAACCCTAAGGAGAGAATACCCAAGACGAAAACCCTAAGGAGAGAATACCCAAGACGAAAACCCTAAGGAGAGAATACCCAAGACGAAAACCCTAAGGAGAGAATACCCAAGACGAAAACCCTAAGGAGAGAATACCCAAGACGAAAACCCTAAGGAGAGAATACCCAAGACGAAAACCCTAAGGAGAGAATACCCAAGACGAAAACCCTAAGGAGAGAATACCCAAGACGAAAACCCTAAGGAGAGAATACCCAAGACGAAAACCCTAAGGAGAGAATACCCAAGACGAAAACCCTAAGGAGAGAATACCCAAGACGAAAACCCTAAGGAGAGAATACCCAAGACGAAAACCCTAAGGAGAGAATACCCAAGACGAAAACCCTAAGGAGAGAATACCCAAGACGAAAACCCTAAGGAGAGAATACCCAAGACGAAAACCCTAAGGAGAGAATACCCAAGACGAAAACCCTAAGGAGAGAATACCCAAGACGAAAACCCTAAGGAGAGAATACCCAAGACGAAAACCCTAAGGAGAGAATACCCAAGACGAAAACCCTAAGGAGAGAATACCCAAGACGAAAACCCTAAGGAGAGAATACCCAAGACGAAAACCCTAAGGAGAGAATACCCAAGACGAAAACCCTAAGGAGAGAATACCCAAGACGAAAACCCTAAGGAGAGAATACCCAAGACGAAAACCCTAAGGAGAGAATACCCAAGACGAAAACCCTAAGGAGAGAATACCCAAGACGAAAACCCTAAGGAGAGAATACCCAAGACGAAAACCCTAAGGAGAGAATACCCAAGACGAAAACCCTAAAAGTGAATGCAGCGGGAACCTTTCCCGAAGTCGAAAAACCCCTAAGGAGCGAATCCAGCAGGAACCCTGGACCGAAGACGAAACCCTAAGGAGTGAACCCAGAGGAAACTGTAACCCATAACGAGAACCCAAATGAAGGAATACCCAAGGCGAGAACCGCCTCAGGAGTGACTACCCAAGGCGAAAGCCTTAAGGAGTGAATCCAACCGTAACCTTTTCCCGAAGACGACAACCTTTCACCCACCAAAACCGTAAGGACTGAATCCAACAGCAAGCCTTTACCAAAGTCAAAAAAAAACGAATGTTACAGCACCAAAACTGTGGCTGGATGCTGAATAGACCAGAGCCTAAAAGTTAGCGGCGTGGTGCTAAAGACATCAAAAATATAGCAGAGATGCTTGTGTTGAAACCCTGTGCAGAGCTTTGTTGTTTTTGGAGCAGAAAAATTTCAACTGAGATGTTTTGTGGAAAAGCTGGAAAAGTTACATCTAAGAAAAAGCTAAATCACAACTACGTGTGCTACAAGTACCTGCACAGCCCTGCGAGGCACTACGTGTTGCACGCAGGCTACATGCCTCCAAGGGGCTCGGTGGAGTCCTTCATGGAGAACTGGCCCTCACGCGGGCCACGGCCATCGGTGGTCGAGGCCGCCTGGAAGAAGCCTGGCACGTGCAAGTCGCTGAAACTTGGCTCTGGCTCCAGAGGCTCCAGATCGCACGCCTGTCGTCTCGATGAGGCCGGCGAAGGCGATGATTTGAGCACCACCCAGCACAGGCAGCTTGGAAAGAGCTGCAAGGCCGTTGGGCATGTCCTGACTTGATCCGGTGCGACTTTCGAAACGGCTACGTCGAAGCTGCACTCTATGAAGCTGAGTCGCAGAGAACTTCAAGCCCAACGAGGGGGACAGGAAGCCTACGCAGCAAGACATCACCAGTCTCTACATGGTTCAGTGGCACCCACATCATCCACGCACCTGGCCAGCGAAAGTATTCCGGGACAATGTAGCCAATGGTCGCATACCTCAGCAGCACTTCGCTCCAAGCATACGAGGCCACATACAATATTTCAACAGCTGGAGCACATCGCGATCCGCCCATGCTTGAGCTCCACCGCGCGACGGCGATTGAAGGTGGCCTGCATGCATTTCGAGCAGGCGGAGCATTCAGCCTGTGCCGGTTAGGTACTTGTAAGTCGGCGTACGCCTGCCTTCCGAAACCTTGGAACAACTCCCCTCTTGGACATCATGGTTCACAACTTCTCCTTTGCCGAGCCTTGTCCTTGTCAGCCGCAAGCCCTAGGGGATCCCAAAATCCCACCGGATCTTGCACACCCAGCTCCTGCAAGGGCGCGACTGCGATGTTTCAGATGTTGAAGTTGAAGCATGAACTGTTCACCGGTAGCATGGCATGTCAAGGTTAATTTCGGAGCAGGCCGAGCAAATGAGTCTCCAAGGTCTTGACATGACATGACACAACATTCGGCATCCCCAACGATCAACACTCAAACACCAAAGCTGGCCGCACCGTTGCCGGGTCGAAGCTGGCCGGTGTCGAGGTGGGTCCGCCGAAGAAGTTACGTGCGACGTGAGGCCGGGATGTCCTGCCCTGCGTAGCACAAAACAGCTCTCAACAAGCTTGCCTCTCTCGCAAGTCTCACTCACATCTCTGCTGTCAGGCCACGGAAGCGCGAGACAAGGCTGCCACCAAAACTCCTCGCAGGATGAATCTCGACTTGAGATGCATGATTGTTTTGAAAGCGGCGGTCGCAGTCCCACGCCTGCGCTGGCGACGGTGCCGACGGTAGCTGCCGAAAGGCCGCTGCTGGGTGTCTGCGCAGCTGCGTGTGCGGCTGTGCGGGGTGCCTGGGTGCCCTGAGTGCTGGGAGCTCCGGGCACGAAAAGTGGCGCGGCCACCTGAGCAACTCATGCAACAGCACACCGCGCCGCAGGACCGGTTTCTGCAAGAGCTTGGTAGCTCGTGTCGCTTGCAAGATCGCTGAGGCATTGGCAAGGCCGGCAGCGGGCAAGGCAAGCGCCAGGGTACGAGGCGCCATGGCGAATCAAACCACGAAGAGGGAGTTGCAGAGCCCAAATCTGCACCAGATGCTTGACAATCATGCACTAGCCTGCTCAAACGTCTCGACAGGAACCCTCTGAGAGCAAAGCCCGACATAGTCATGCATAGGGCAGTGGATCTCCGGACCTCCAAGCAATGGGTTAAAATGCGGCCATGCGCGTTCGTCTTGGCGTCATGTCATTGCAATTCAATGTATAGGTTTGCGAGGAAGCTTCTCATCCACAGCAGGGCAATGCAGGGAGTGGCTGCTGCAGTGTTTTGATTCTAAGCTGGATAATGAAAATGGGCTCTGCCACTATCAAAGCGGGCCGACACTTATAGCTTCGCCAAAGGCCAGCAAATCGATGACTCCCTGCGGCTCATACGTGGGTTCACTGGGCTCAGCAGGTTCAGCTGAACGCCATAACAAACATTTGATGCACCTAAAGTTAAAAAGCAGACCGCTCATCCGCTCATCCCCACTGCTCGACGGCATCCTTGCCTGTGTACATTTCGGCGGCGATGATGCCGATGGCCGCAAACATGGCGAAGCGGCCGTTGTTGATCTCCCTCTCTCGCATCTCCTTGGTGTACTGGTTGAAGTTCATGGGATCCCCGAAGTTGCCGGGCTCCTTGCAAGGATTTTATCTGATGCGACTCCTTGCAAGGAAGCAAGTAATGAGTAAGAAAGCAAGGAAGCAGTAAGTAAAAAAGTAAGTAAGGAAGTAAGCAAGCAAGCATAAGAAGGTAAGGAAGAAAGTAGAAAGTAGCTCAGTAGCCAACTATCTATGCGCTGATCTCACATCAGACATCATTTGATAGAGATGTACGGCTCCTTGTCTGCAACCTGCCTCCACGGCCCAAGCTCGAGGACGCCGGCCAAGATCCAAAGGATCACGAAGCCGTAGCTCCCGGGAGCCTTTTCGATGGCCTTGATGCCGGCCGGCATGCTCTCGAAACCAGGCAGTCGCACGAAGTGCTGAAACACCGCTCCGACCGTCGCCATCATCGCCACGCGGCCGTTCTTCAGCTCCGCCGCGCGAAGCCACGCGAACTTCTCCTCATCGCTCAGGTCCTGGAGGTACACGCCCAGCGGTCGGCCCGGCTTGGAAAAGTTCAGGGGGTCGAAGAAGCCAAGAGGTGGCATGGCCCCGACCTCCTCCGAGGGGTCGTAAGCCCTCAGGGGCGACGCCGTGTATGTGCTCCAGTCTCCCCAAGCAGAGCCGGTGAGACCATCTTGGAAGAACATGCCTGGCCACGTCTTGAATGTGCAGGTAAGCCTGTGCAGCCACAGATCACGCCAAGGGGCCGATGATGGCCATCATCGCTAAGCGGCCGTTCGCCAGCTCGGCCGCAAGTTTGGTTTTGCGTGCCTCTGGATCCTTCCCATGAAGCATTGCAGTGCAGACCGAAAACAGCAAGATCAAGCCGCCTATATGCAAGGTGATCTACGAGTAAAAGTATGTTCGGCACCCTCGCACCTCGACCTTTCCCAGGAAGTTCGGGAAACCCACGCCGTAGTTGCCGGGCTCGGCGCTCCTAGGCAAAAAAATGCAACGAAGCGACAGTGCTGCACGCAGGCTACATGCCTCCAAGGGGCTCGGTGGAGTCCTTCATGGAGAACTGGCCCTCACGCGGACCACGGCCATCGGTGGTCGAGGCCGCCTGGAAGAAGCCTGGCACGTGCAAGTCGCTGAAACTTGGCTCTGGCTCCAGAGGCTCCAGATCGCACGCCTGTCGTCTCGATGAGGCCGGCGAAGGCGATGATTTGAGCACCACCCAGCACAGGCAGCTTGGAAAGAGCTGCAAGGCCGTTGGGCATGTCCTGACTTGATCCGGTGCGACTTTCGAAACGGCTACGTCGAAGCTGCACTCTATGAAGCTGAGTCGCAGAGAACTTCAAGCCCAACGAGGGGGACAGGAAGCCTACGCAGCAAGACATCACCAGTCTCTACATGGTTCAGTGGCATCCACATCATCCACGCACCTGGCCAGCGAAAGTATTCCGGGACAATGTAGCCAATGGTCGCATACCTCAGCAGCACTTCGCTCCAAGCATACGAGGCCACATACAATATTTCAACAGCTGGAGCACATCGCGATCCGCCCATGCTTGAGCTCCACCGCGCGACGGCGATTGAAGGTGGCCTGCATGCATTTCGAGCAGGCGGAGCATTCAGCCTGTGCCGGTTAGGTACTTGTAAGTCGGCGTACGCCTGCCTTCCGAAACCTTGGAACAACTCCCCTCTTGGACATCATGGTTCACAACTTCTCCTTTGCCGAGCCTTGTCCTTGTCAGCCGCAAGCCCTAGGGGATCCCAAAATCCCACCGGATCTTGCACACCCAGCTCCTGCAAGGGCGCGACTGCGATGTTTCAGATGTTGAAGTTGAAGCATGAACTGTTCACCGGTAGCATGGCATGTCAAGGTTAATTTCGGAGCAGGCCGAGCAAATGAGTCTCCAAGGTCTTGACATGACATGACACAACATTCGGCATCCCCAACGATCAACACTCAAACACCAAAGCTGGCCGCACCGTTGCCGGGTCGAAGCTGGCCGGTGTCGAGGTGGGTCCGCCGAAGAAGTTACGTGCCACGTGAGGCCGGGATGTCCTGCCCTGCATAGCACAAAACAGCTCTCAACAAGCTTGCCTCTCTCGCAAGTCTCACTCACAGCTCTGCTGTCAGGCCACGGAAGCGCGAGACAAGGCTGCCACCAAAACTCCTCGCAGGATGAATCTCGACTTGAGATGCATGATTGTTTTGAAAGCGGCGGTCGCAGTCCCACGCCTGCGCTGGCGACGGTGCCGACGGTAGCTGCCGAAAGGCCGCTGCTGGGTGTCTGCGCAGCTGCGTGTGCGGCTGTGCGGGGTGCCTGGGTGCCCTGAGTGCTGGGAGCTCCGGGCACGAAAAGTGGCGCGGCCACCTGAGCAACTCATGCAACAGCACACCGCGCCGCAGGACCGGTTTCTGCAAGAGCTTGGTAGCTCGTGTCGCTTGCAAGATCGCTGAGGCATTGGCAAGGCCGGCAGCGGGCAAGGCAAGCGCCAGGGTACGAGGCGCCATGGCGAATCAAACCACGAAGAGGGAGTTGCAGAGCCCAAATCTGCACCAGATGCTTGACAATCATGCACTAGCCTGCTCAAACGTCTCGACAGGAACCCTCTGAGAGCAAAGCCCGACATAGTCATGCATAGGGCAGTGGATCTCCGGACCTCCAAGCAATGGGTTAAAATGCGGCCATGCGCGTTCGTCTTGGCGTCATGTCATTGCAATTCAATGTATAGGTTTGCGAGGAAGCTTCTCATCCACAGCAGGGCAATGCAGGGAGTGGCTGCTGCAGTGTTTTGATTCTAAGCTGGATAATGAAAATGGGCTCTGCCACTATCAAAGCGGGCCGACACTTATAGCTTCGCCAAAGGCCAGCAAATCGATGACTCCCTGCGGCTCATACGTGGGTTCACTGGGCTCAGCAGGTTCAGCTGAACGCCATAACAAACATTTGATGCACCTAAAGTTAAAAAGCAGACCGCTCATCCGCTCATCCCCACTGCTCGACGGCATCCTTGCCTGTGTACATTTCGGCGGCGATGATGCCGATGGCCGCAAACATGGCGAAGCGGCCGTTGTTGATCTCCCTCTCTCGCATCTCCTTGGTGTACTGGTTGAAGTTCATGGGATCCCCGAAGTTGCCGGGCTCCTTGCAAGGATTTTATCTGATGCGACTCCTTGCAAGGAAGCAAGTAATGAGTAAGAAAGCAAGGAAGCAGTAAGTAAAAAAGTAAGTAAGGAAGTAAGCAAGCAAGCATAAGAAGGTAAGGAAGAAAGTAGAAAGTAGCTCAGTATCCAACTATCTATGCGCTGATCTCACATCAGACATCATTTGATAGAGATGTACGGCTCCTTGTCTGCAACCTGCCTCCACGGCCCAAGCTCGAGGACGCCGGCCAAGATCCAAAGGATCACGAAGCCGTAGCTCCCGGGAGCCTTTTCGATGGCCTTGATGCCGGCCGGCATGCTCTCGAAGCCAGGCAGTCGCACGAAGTGCTGAAACACCGCTCCGACCGTCGCCATCATCGCCACGCGGCCGTTCTTCAGCTCCGCCGCGCGAAGCCACGCGAACTTCTCCTCATCGCTCAGGTCCTGGAGGTACACGCCCAGCGGTCGGCCCGGCTTGGAAAAGTTCAGGGGGTCGAAGAAGCCAAGAGGTGGCATGGCCCCGACCTCCTCCGAGGGGTCGTAAGCCCTCAGGGGCGACGCCGTGTATGTGCTCCAGTCTCCCCAAGCAGAGCCGGTGAGACCATCTTGGAAGAACATGCCTGGCCACGTCTTGAATGTGCAGGTAAGCCTGTGCAGCCACAGATCACGCCAAGGGGCCGATGATGGCCATCATCGCTAAGCGGCCGTTCGCCAGCTCGGCCGCAAGTTTGGTTTTGCGTGCCTCTGGATCCTTCCCATGAAGCATTGCAGTGCAGACCGAAAACAGCAAGATCAAGCCGCCTATATGCAAGGTGATCTACGAGTAAAAGTATGTTCGGCACCCTCGCACCTCGACCTTTCCCAGGAAGTTCGGGAAACCCACGCCGTAGTTGCCGGGCTCGGCGCTCCTAGGCAAAAAAATGCAACGAAGCGACAGTGCTGCACGCAGGCTACATGCCTCCAAGGGGCTCGGTGGAGTCCTTCATGGAGAACTGGCCCTCACGCGGGCCACGGCCATCGGTGGTCGAGGCCGCCTGGAAGAAGCCTGGCACGTGCAAGTCGCTGAAACTTGGCTCTGGCTCCAGAGGCTCCAGATCGCACGCCTGTCGTCTCGATGA